GAGAGAGAGTGGTTCTGCACGAGAGGCGTGAGCCTCCAGGGTGCTTGCGTGCAGTATTCCACAAACCCCGCGTACCCGACGCGAGACAGTCCGCCCTGAGCATGTTATCCCCAAAGCACAAGGTCACTTGACAGGCAGGGAAGGAGCTCTCAGCCAAGAGCCACCCTGCACAAAGCGGTCCCCTTGCCCCATGGTGCAGATGCCGCGAAAGGAGAACATTAGAGGATCAAGGATGGTGAGAGGAGCAGAGAAGTCAGGGATGGGGAAGACCAGTCAGTGAGTCACAGTCACTTGCAGCTTATTGTCAGAAGGAATGATCAGCCCATGCACCACATGTGCAAGTCAGGTTAGTCAATGCACTTACGGGATGTACTCAGACACGGTGACAAGAAAGGCTAAATATGAGCTGGACAGGGAGGAACTCTAGTGCAGCAGGACTCTCAGTTTCCTTTAAGGCTGTTTCAGTCCTTAGGGCATCCCAGGCTCTAGAGTGACACAATATTTGCTCTTCCTGATCCCCATCTTCCCACCCCACATCGCTTGCGCAAACAGCAGAACAAGATCCAGTCACAAACATCCGCGATAAGCATACACAGCAGTACAACCTGTTGCTTGCATCTCATTCTCTACACAGCGTTCCGAGAGGGCATCTATGCTGCAGACTGAATACCAGTGCACAGCAGCTTCTAAAAACAAAACCACAAAACCGCTCGAAAGCGTTGATATTCTTCATGAAGGAGAACATGCAACAGGGGCACTGATTCCACTGTTAGATTGTCCTATATGTCAATAGCCTGGATGCTGCTATCACAGAATTATTGCACTATGCAAATGAATAAGGTATGTGCTGTTATTTTAGATATCCCTTGTAATTTAAACTACAATGTAGTTCACAACAGTATTTCATTCTTCTGCACTTAAAAAAAAATGCATTTTGTTGCATAAATACATATCTGAAATTAAACAGGCAGTTTGCAACACCCAGCTCTCAGACTTCAGTTCCAACTACCTGCACGAATACATGTACATTGTGCAAACCCACAATATCATAAATACATGCATGAGTGACTAATACAACTGAGCTTAAGCCGTCCAAGTGCCCACAGCTCTGCCCAGCTAAATGTGCAATCACATGAACAGATCCAAGAACATGTACTGTGCACAGCTGCATCCAGATCAGTCCAGTGACATCCATGTATAATCCCCATGTCTGACTTTTGGTTTGGTGTCATGAGAAGGCCATGTGGGAAAGCCTGCACTAACATTGGTGCAGACTCCTTCACACTGTGTGCAGGCCTGTGCTTTGGCACTCTGCCTCTTTCTTAAGTTCAAGGCCAAATTTTGCTCTTGGTAGCACTGAGCAAATCTCCCAAAAGCTGGGGGTCTAACACCAGATCAAAGAAAGGTGAGTGGCAGGAAAAAAGGGAAGGGAAAAGGAAAGGAGAAGAGGGAGCACCATTTTGGAGCCCCCCATCTTATGGAAATCACAGTCTTACTGTGGAGCAAAAGCTCAGCTCTTGCTTCAGAGCAGAATGTAGTCAGGAGCACAGTCAGCTGCCTGCTGTGCCTCCCTGTAAGCCACCCCACCCAACCACCAGCTTACAGGCTGTGCTGGACAGGAGCAGTATGGTGTTTTGCCCTTTTGATTTCACGATAAAAGGTACTCGGTATCAAGAGCCATGGGAGCAGGCCCCAATCCTTTGCTTAGACAGAGAGGAAGGCTTGTAAGAGTTGGTAGCGCTAGCCGCTGGCCACACTGCTGTGTCTTAGCACCAGGGAAGATGCACACCACCGTGGTGAGCTTGCATCTTGGCTGGTGGAGCAGGTTGGCACCCTCAGTCAGAGTACTGGGAGACAGTTAGAAGCAACTGAGCTGTCACCTGTCAGCTGAGACACAGTGACTGCGACATCTGCTCTCCCGCCAGCATGAGATAAAACCATGAGAGTGGTTTAAATCAGACCTTTTCCTCCCAGTGGGTGAACAACCTTCCTATGTCCTTAATATAAATAGTAATTCATTAAGCTGTGGCACTCAATTCCTCACAACTGTCCACAAATGAAGACTGGGTAATACGTTGTGCTAAATGCCCTTCAAAGCTCATAAATTTATTTTTGGAGTATGATACTACTTGGGTATCATATTCTGGCCACACGTGTTTAACTGCATCAACAAGTAGTCTATCTGGGGCAGTCTCGTCAGAATTTGCCAGGCAATCTGCCACCAGCACCAACTGGAAGCTGGAGTTACTAGAGATGTCACAAAGCAGAACAAAACCACCTCTATAATATTCAGGCTATCACAATAAGCACACATACTCCACAGCTTATCCCCTAACCAGACAAACGAAAGTTGCTGATGTGCCCTCCTAAGCTAACGGTATCGAAGACATTGCCTCACCCAGCACATGGGTTGGACATTAGCACGAACTATCCCAATACTGCGGTAACCAACAACTCAGACAGTATGTGGAGTCCAGAAGTCATGGGAAATGCTTTTTATGACCTCCCAGTTCAAAACCCAAGACTGCCTGTCTTCTTTCTTCTAGGTCACTCTGAGCATTTTTGGCACTTGCCAATGGAGCCGAGGTCTGCGTTGGGGCTGAGTTACAGCACTGATATGAAGCAGGACCTGCTTGCGGCACAGCACATCCACAGCCTGTGATCTGCCTCCTCGGAAAGAATAATTGTGGAATTATCACACTAAACAGCCCATGGAAAATAGCTCACTCTGAAGAAATACGCCTAAGGCATACCCGCAGAAGTGTGAACCACTGCCAGCTCTGAGCTTGGTAACAATGTAAGAGGCAGTTTGGTTATGAAGTCTGGTTTCCTGCTTTGTGGGGCGTGAGGAGAGACACAGGAGCCACATCTTGGGGTGGCCTCCTTCCCCTACAAGCTCAAGGCAGCTCTTCCCAGCAAAGAGGGGTGGTTGGACCAGGTAGAAGAGGTGGGAAGTTGGAGACCTGCTGTCCCACAAAGGCCAGCTGATACCAAGCCTCATGTTGCAGCACAGGAAAGGCAAGAGGGGGAAGCAGGTCAGATCCTGCAATAGCTGTCACTGGGAAGTGCTGAGATGAGCGCCATCAGGGGAGAAAGATAGATCAAAGACTTTCCTAGAGGTTGGCTCCATGGCTGAGCTCTCACCTGACAGCCCTAGGGAACTCCTTGGCATGGGACTCCCCACACTCCAGCATATACTAAGAGCAGCTGTGTGAGTTCCTCAATGGAAAACAGCAAAGAAACGCCACAGAGAGCAGCACCGGCCTTCAAAACTGTTTTTAACTGTATCACATTAAAAGCACTGCCATGAAAGGGCAAGGCTGTGCAAAGAGCAATCAGATGGCTTGCCTCATCTGGAAGCTGGGCAGCCATCTCGCTGCCTGCACCCAAAGTCTTTTTGTGCTTCCCTCTCCTTCACCTGCAAGTCAGATTTGCCATGGCACTGAAAGTCATGGACACACCTTGCGCTCACTTCAGTAGTGTCATGATTTGTTCTCAAACCCCCAAACCAAGTCACAAAAGCATAGCTCTGCAGTATGAATGACCACCTGTGCCCATCAACCCACTGCCTGCCCTACAGCCCTGAGAGACAGTTGCCAGTAACTCAGAAGCTGTGGATTTGGTGGTTAACACTGCTACAGCATGCAAGAGCCTGGGACAGCTGGCACACAGGAAACCCAGACTTCATACCAGCCTTGCTATGTGCGGAGCACAAAATGATCAGAGCCAGGCTCTGTCAACTGCAGGAAGCTTCGTGGGAGGACAGATGTTTATTATAGTGGAAATCTCTGCTCTTAGACCTTCCAGCGGCACATCTGCTACCTACCCCATCCCCAAATCAGACCTTCAATAAGGCTTAATTGAGGTGGAGGCATTCTTCCACTTCCCTTGCACACAGGAACATTTCATCCTGGCAACACAGAAAACAGGTTTTAAATGGCACCAGGTGGGTTATTTTTATTTCTGACTGCTACCTTTGTTTCACTCTTTCTTTGGAATTGGTGATGATTAAAGCCACTGCACAGTTGCAGATTTAAAGAATATGAAGGATATGCAGGAACGTGAAGGAATAAAGACAAACAAGTACAAAGAAACACAACAATAAAAAAACCCAAAACAAAAAAGACCCTCAGTAACAGTTTGATCCAACGACCATGAGAAGTCAGCTGAGGTTGACTCTTTCATTGACTTCAGTGGGCATTAGATCACGTCAGCAAACTTGTCTAAAGCCTCATCACAGCTCTAGGATATCCTAGTGGAATATAAACTAAGGTCAAGAATTGTAATTGTTCACTGAAATACTGAATTTGTTAGTGTTTTCCCTGCACTTCGAGAAGAAGAACAATTACGTTGCAAATGCCAATGCTGGAACAGTGGAACTCATTATTTCAAGGCTTTAAGGACTAAATTCCGCCTTTGGATTCACATGCACGTTTTGCATTGTCTGCAATGGAAACAGCTTACGTGTAAATGACTTAAATTTGTTTTCCAGCACTTAAAACTATCCAGCTTTTCCATTTTCTGTAGTAAATATGAAATTATTGTTATACTCTGTTATTTTTTTGCGGATTTCAAATGATGGCTTATGACATATTTGAAGCATTTTTTTCTGTATGGTTTGGGGTAAGACTATGGTTTTTCTGCACTGTTGCATTCCCCAGAATACTGAAAGAGTTGCTCTAAGTCAGTAGACTTTACATTAAGTGTACACAGCCATAAAATACTAACAACCTGTGCTTAAAAAGTTAAAATTATGTGTATGACAGTGATTTTGCCATTATACTTTTGCATATTGTTGAAAACAATACTTTTTAGCCTAAAGACCAGCAACATTTTGATCAAAGAAGATCATCCACAAAAACAGAAGTTAAAAATAGCTTTTAGCTGACTTCAGGGTTTTTTTCACATGCAGCATAAATGTGCCTCAGGAAACAAAATAAAAAACCAGCCCAAAAATGTTGTAAATGGTTTCATGAACTTACATTGATGTCTGATGCTGATCAAGAATAAGCCAGCAGGTAAGAAGCAGCAGCCAGTGATAAGTTTGTCTGCTCCACTCTGAGAGGTGATGTTAAAATAAGTTGAAAAAATGCTTTAAAATAGAATTGCTACATAAGCCTCCCTGGGGATATACACTTACTGATGTGTGCATGTTAGAAATGGTATTTCCAGTCTATCTTGTGTTGCCTGAGAACCATTTTTGTCCTTTTAAAATCTGCATTTATATTATAACCCATAAGTACCTTTCATTTTTGTATTAACACTATAAATACTATGTTAGTAATACTAAACTATTTCTATTGACTTATTTGTAAAAAGAAAAATATATTATATATTTATATATTTTTATAAAGTGAATTAACACTGGAGAGAGGGCTATGGGGGAGTAGTGTACAATCACAGTTGATGTGTATTATTGGGCACAAATTCAACGCTTGAAACAAAAAGGAAAAGAAAAAAGTGTTCAGGTGATATCCCTCTTTCAAGCCGTGTCAGATGAAGAGTCATAGGATGCTGACACTATGAAGTTGCCAGTATTGGAGTGGCTTTTCCTATGCTGGCTCAAGTTATTGCAGATGAGCACCAGCTGGTTGCTCTGCGCTTCTGAGAGGGTGCTACAGCTCTGGTAGACACTGAAGTTAGTCTTCCGGCCAGGGATGTTGCCTTTCTCACACATCGTCTTTACCATCTTGGCAAGCTTGTTTTTCCCCAGGGCTTGGCCATTGTACCAGTGAAGAGCAGCCAAGTTGACGACGGGTTTGATGGACAGGTAAAAAGGTGCGTCCTCGTAGCGCATGGCTGGAGGCCGCCTCTGGGCGTACTCCTTGTAGTCTTGCACAGGGCAGGTCTGTGGGGAATGCTGGGTGGCGTACACCCGGGAGTCTGTCCCACCTCTCTTGCTCTTGGCATTGACATCTCCATTGTCCGGCCCCATCCACTCCAGGTACTCCAACCCCGTCTCTGTCACGCGCAGCCGGATGTCTCCCCACTTGAGAGTGGACCCATGGAAACCTGTGCAGTGTCCAAATGCCTTAGTGTTGTTTAGCCAGACAAGGTTCAGAAGCCCTTCAGGATTGTACCGGCTCAACAAGCCTCTTTTGCGTAGAATAAGCTCATCAGCAAAGGTGAGCTTCATGGATTTGTGGGGCTTGTTTCCTTTTCCTTTACATCTCAGCTCTATTTGCTTTTGCTTTAGGGCTTCCTGGGACCTCTTGAACTCCTTATCCCTTGTAATACTGTATCCATACCTGTGCTCTTTGAGATACCGCTCCAGCCCACACTGATAGTTGGCCAGACTGTTTGGCTCGTATTCAGACCCATCCTTTTGTCTGGCATCCACAAAGAAGGAAGCAAGGTAGGCATCAAGCTCTTTGCAGGGGATGACATAGATCTCCCGGGTCTCAGAGGGGTACTTGGAGATAAGAAACTCTCGGAAATTGCGGAGAGCAGTCTGCGTGCTGCGAATGGTCTTCTCGTTCTGCTCCCTACTGAGCTCTGCCGCTCTCTCATCCTGGTCTGGAAGAGGGAGAAGGGGAAAGACAAAAGAAAGCAGAAGCAGTGAGTTTGTGTGATGCGCTTTTCCCCAAAATTTCCTTAAAAAAAAAAAAAAAAGAAGAAAAATTAAAATCAATTTCACAAGAGCACTGGAAAACATCATTACATACCTGTCACATGACTGAAAAGCCAACTTCAGTTTCACAAATGATGTACTAGAGTATGGCACAAAACCAAAGTGAGCTCCTCATGACACTGGGGCACAGTTTTGTGCATGGAGATTTGTGGAAAACAGTGGGATTAGAGGCAATCTGCTTTTTAGAACAAATGCAAGGCAGAAGGTTTTTCTGTGGATCTCAATGCTGTGTGCAGAGCCCAGTCCGAGTCATAAGCCCATTCTGAACTGTTTCATTTGTGAAACCTGAGGTTGTACTGGTTCCAATTTATTTCTAAAAAAAAATAACTAAAGCATTGTATTTAGGACAGTAAAAATTATCTTTAATATCAGGCACATTTTTAAAGAGCTAAATAAATACAGACAGAAATGTACAGAACAAAATAATGCAGCACATCCTAACAAAGGAGTTGGCAGGTAAAACTACAGAGCAGAATGTAATTTACAAATGTACAAGAATAAAAAAAAATAGTATGTTCACATCAGAAGATATGGAAGAAAAACATGATTATGTTATGATTATGCTGTACCTTGACAGTGGAAATACAATTGAGACCATTTCTTTTCATTTTGCCAAAAAATCAAATTCTGGAAACAACTTTATATTGCTCTATAAAGCTATACTCAAAGGTCCTTACAATCAGTAACATATCAAATCACAATATTCAGATGCTACCGCTACAATGGTTGTTACTGACAGCTGATTTCTGCGCTGATCGTAAGATTAGCATAAAAAGGAAAAGCTTTTTATACCTAAGTGATGTGTGTATTTAAGGACTGTTTTCTTGGCGTATGCAAAATATACATCTTCACAAGGATGCAGCTTACAAGCACATAGGGGGAACTGTCATTACGAATGTGACAAACCTTAATGGTTTTACAAAATGAACAGCAAATGCAAAGAAGGAAAAATTCAATGATTTGGCTATTCTTTGTAATTGTGAATGGAACATTCTTTTTTCTCTCTTCCAGTTAATAAGCAGAAGAGGGGGAAAAGGCAAGTTCTATTTTGTTCTATCTTATTGCAAAACTCCTACATTTTGGTGTCCTTTCAGCAGTGCCATAGGAACACTCACCAGGCATTTCCCACCCAACATACACACCACAAAGTGGCATGAGACCAGGTGAAGTTCCCACTGCCTCTCTGTCATTCAGGCCAAGCTCATGTCAGGCCATGTAGCGCACCCATGCTTTGCAGCAGTGCTCAGACGCTTGCGCCTTGTGCTCACTCTGCCTTGCAAGCCTGTCAACAGGGGAGGCAGCTGGGAAAGGAAGGTGGCCCTATCTCTTTCCCTAGCCACCTGCAATATTTCATGCAGTGCAGAAATGTCACTGAACAGCTGGGCAGCTTCCCCTTCCAGTTGTCTACAGAGTGGCTCTGAAGAGAGTTCATCCCATCACCTCCGTACCACAGGTGCAGGCAGAGGCACAGGGAGTCACTTGTCCCAGGACTTGCCAGCAGGCCAGAAACAGGGCTGAGTTTATATCCCCCGGGACCAGGGCCTGTGTCTTCACTGCAAGGTATCTGCTGCATCCACAGCACTCAGTGAATCCCACTGAGAGGGGCCCTCAAACCCTCTGCAAAGCACAGAGAAGCAGAGGTCTGCAGCTGAGGCCTTTGGAGGCTTCAGCAGCCATGAAAAATACTGCCATGAGCACTGAGGTTTGTTCGAATGGTGCTCAAGGGGAAAAAGAAAAGGTCACCAGCCTGTTTCAGAAATGGGTTTTAATACTGATGCCAGTTTGTGGTGGTGCATTTCCCCCCGACCCTGCATCTTTTTCTGGGCCTCACCACGATTTCAGAAATCCATGCCTTAGCCTTTGTGTGACGAGTTGGGCGGTTAAGCGCCCCTTGATCGTACCAGAAACTCTGTCACAGCTAAGGATGGAAAAATACTGATTATACCGGCAACATCTGTCACCGGGCCAAGGATGGGAACTCAGCAGAACAGGTCTTGGTACATCTCTTGTCTGAATAGAAACTTGACAAAGCAGGCCTTGGGGGCCTGAGAAGAGCAGGCCTTGGTACGTCCCTTATCTGAATTCTGGCTCGAGTAGAACACGGTATCAGCACTGACCCACTTGGATTGTGGTCAGAATGGAAATTCACTGATAACTGAAGTCAATCACCTTGCAAACCTATAAAGAGCAGATCTAAGCAAGACCCTCTGAGTTCTTCTGGACTGCAGCGGGCTGTGGCCAGCATCTCCCTTGGGGTGGGACGCCTCTCAGAGCTTGTGAATCTTCAAGTTTGCGAAGTTTGGAGGATCATTGTTGGAATGAGACAACGGAGCCTGGGCCAAAAATCCTTCGCTCCTCGAGACTCAACCCTTGCCCATTGAGAGATGCCAAGGCATTAGAAGTGAGGGAACTCTCTGAACTTGAGGGAAATTTTTCTAATAGGTTTACCTACCTTTATACATATATATCTTTCTACACGTATTTCTTTATACCTGTATTTCCTTATACATTTATTACTTTATATACATATATCTTTGTAAATTTATTTCTTTACATATGTATCTTTATACATATACTCCTTTATACATACATTTCTATACATCTCTCTCTCTCTCTAACATTTCTGTGCATGCATGTGTGAATCAGTTCAAATACCCTGCAACAATTTAAGTCATTGTTATGATCATAGTACTTCATAGGTGTTAAATTAGTCAGTGATTTAAGTGCTGTTAAATGAAAAGTGCTGCTAAATCCTACTGCCAACTACCTCACTCCTGATATCTATTAGATATAAACGGTTAACCAAGTCTAGGACTAGGATTGGATCCAGCTGCACCTAGACTCCTCTCTGAGAAGGAGTTTAGAAAGCAAGGGGGGTCTATTCTGAACCTTGTGACTCAATGGGTCTCCCTTACCTCTTCTCCTTTTACCCCCAGGCTTTATGTAAACCACTCTTGCTCAATTTTAACCCTTTTTTTTCTTCTTTCCTGTGTACCTTTCTTTCATGTAGTAAGGAATAGAGTGAACCTTACCATCACACTTTGTTAAGTCACCTTTCTATTAATTTATATTAAAACTATTTCTGCTAATACCTTTGATGGTGATTCTTTGAGCGACCTTAAAACGACTTATTCACGGCACAGTATCAAAGAGCTCCTAGCAGCCTGCAGTGAAGTCTCATGGTTTAGGCAGTGTATAAGATAGATCCTTTTATTATGGCTAGATGCAGGCTGGAAATAGAGACAACCCTGTTTGAAGCTCCGAAACAAACATTTACACTGGTACCCACCACCGCTTATTATAGCACTGTGTAAGTAATCAGTGCTTTGACTGACAGCCCACATTTTAAGTACTGTTTCAATATAAACAGCACATATAATGGCTCGGTTTTATACATGTCATCAATCACTACTTCTTAGAGGATAGCCTGTCACAACACAGCAGTGACACCCAGTCAGTCATTTATGTCATGGCATCTTTCCTTAATCTGCAAAGGAAATTGCCATATCTGCAGCTAACACTTATAAAACCCTGCTGAATTAAAGATCCCCTGAAGTTGCATGAGCGAACCAGTACGCCAGAAACGCTGCATTCGT